CCCTCCCTACCCCCCTCTCTTTCCCCTCCCCCAGGTTCCGCCTTCCCTCCTCCTCCTCCTCCTCCTTCTCCTCCTCCTCGTCCTCCTCCTCCTCCTCATCACCACCACCACCATCATCATCATTATCACCACCACCAGCATCAGCATCAGCATCAGCATCAGCATCAGCATCAGCATCAGCATCAGCATCATCATCATCATCATCATCATCATCATCATCATCATCATCATCATCAGCATCATCATCATCATCATCATCATCATCATCATCATCATCATCATCATCATCATCATCATCATCATCATCATCATCACCGTCATCATCATCATCATCATCATCATCATCATCATCGTCGTCATCGTCAGCATCGTCGTCATCGTCATCGTCATCGTCATCGTCATCATCATCATCAGCAGCATCACCATCACCATCACCACCATCATCACCATCATCATCACCTCATTATCATCATCCTCATCCTCATCCTCATCCTCCTCCTCATCATCCTCATCCTCAGCATCATCAGCATCATCATCACCATCATCACCACCATCCTCATCATCATCCTCATCATCCTCCTCATCATCAGCATCATCATCACCATCATCACCACCACCACCATCGTCATCATCATCACCATCATCATCATGCTCATCGTCATCATCATCATCATCAACAACATCGTCGTCGTCATCATCATCAGCACCATCACCACCATCATCATCATCATCATCATCATCATCATCATCATCATCATCATCATCGTCATTATCATCATCGTCATCATCATCATCATCATCATCACCAGTGTGCATCATGATCATCATCATCCGCATCCTCATCATCATCCTCACCCTCATCCTCATCCTCATCATCGTCATCATCATCACCATCATCATCAGCATCATCATCACCACCATACTCCTCCTCATCCTCACAATCATCAGAATCATGATCATCATCAGAATCAGCATCATCATCAGCATCAGCATCATCAGCATCATCCTCATCATCATCCTCATCATCATCCTCATCCTCATCAGCCTCATACTCATCGTCAGCAGCATCACACCCACCAACACCACCACCATCATCATGCTGCTGATGCTTCTGCTCCCCTTCCCCGATCATCTTCTCTGATGTTCCTTTTTCTTCTTGTCATCCTGCTGCTGCTCCTCCATGCCCTCGCAATCCCGCAACACTACAACAACGCAACGACACAACCCCGGGCCTCGACATTCACCCACCACCGGACGTCGCCTGCTGCACCCCTGCTCCGCATTAGCAAGAGGACGCCTGCGCGCAGACCCTGGACAATCCCCTGGCGCAGCATGTGGAACCCCACGTGCACGCGTGTGCGTAGGCGGAACCATGTTCGGCTACACGCCATAGTGACCCTGGGCAAGAGTGACCTGTGTTACCAGCCTGGAACATATCCCTATCCCTATGCTGGGCATCTCCTCATCACGATGCCAAGCTTAGGGATTCCCTCATTTTTTGAGGCCGCATCCCTGAGATTGTCATCGCCTTTTTGGCGTGTCAATCTTAGGGATAGGGGTAAATTCGAGGCTGGTGACTTTGGTGCGCGGCTTTCGGGGGGCGCCGGGGGGGAAGAGGGGGGACAAACACAGAGCGCGCAAGCCGCTGCCTTCGCATCCCTTTCCGCCATCCCGGGGGCCCCAATGTGCCCGCACCAACTGTTGCTCCGGCAAACGGCCGCTCTTGCGCGCATAGACGACCTGTGCGCGTGGAGCCCAGCGTGTGTGGCGCTGCGCGTGTCTGCAGCCCCCCTGCGTGTGCCACCCCATCGTAGGCGGATTTGCCGGCGCGGCTTCCGAGCAACATTTAGGGAAACAAAAAGTGGCATAAACATAAAAACTCGGAGATCCGTGCGGATTTCTCGGATCGGCGCTAGACCCCCCTAGCGGCGCCTCTGGCGCCGCCCCTGGCGCGCTCCGCGCGCCAGGGAGGGGGGTCCAGCGCGGATCCGAGAAATCCGCACGGACCTCCGAGTTTTTATGTTTATGCCACCTTTTGGTCCCCTAACACTGCGGCTCCAACGCCTCCAGTAGGCCCCTCGTGCAGCGCGTTGGCTCTGCTCTCCCTCGCGGCCCCTGGCGACGCGCAGCGCGGCCCTCTCAGGCCAGGGGCAGCGTCCGTGCACTGGCGCAAGGCGGCGTAGTCCTTGGCCGTGCCCCAGCCTCAGGGCCCCCGAAACCAGGACACGGCTCACCAGAACTTCCGAAATTCCACCTGGAGGGAACATGGGATGGCGAATGGTTCGACCACTACCTCCCACCACACGGCGAAAAACTGCGAACCTCAATCTCCCCGTCACTTACACCGCCACCAACACATTCCCACCCGCCCCTCTTCAAAGGTGGCCCAGATGCCCCCAGCTGAAACTGCCACATCCCCCATCCACGACGAAGGCTTCCACGCAAAAGTGCCCAAACGTGCTACCGTACACGGTCACAGCCGATATTTCTTCTACCAGCGAGTGCCAACGAATGAAGAGAGCAGGGCGCGGGGCCACCGAAGAGTCCTCCGCCTCTGGCCAAAGCCACCTAGACACCCTCAATCACTGGGGTACCGCTCACCGTGTTGTCTACCAACCGACGATGCACATTGCAAATCAAAAGTGTTGGCCCTAGGTAAAGCTTCAATGCACCCCGCCCCAGAATCCAACACTGTGCGCCACGGAACTGTGCGGAGAAGGGGCTGGGAAGCAAGCGAGCAGAAGCGTGAGCGGTGTGCCGAACTGAGCGCAGGCCTGCAGGCGTATGCGCCCTCTGAGGCCGTAGGCGGAGCTCCTTCTGGGGGCAACGATCTGCGCGAGGGGTGTGTCGACATGGGCGCAGGCCCGCATGCGTGTGCGCACACTGAGGCCGCAGGTGCAGATCCCCGTTGGGGCCGCGACCTGCGTCAGGGGTATACCGAAACTGGGAGGGGCAAGAAGAGGAGGCGAGGGGAGGAGTGAGTGAGGTGAGGCGCAGCGCTGCGGAGTCAAAGCAAGGCCCGCAAACGAAGGAGGGTGAGGAGACACATGATTTGCGGGTCGAGAGCGCACCTCTTCCGGTCGAAGCTAAGCGGGCCGCGCAGAGCTTGAATTACGCAGAGTTGAGGGTGAGGAGACACATACCTTACCCACTTGACGCCCCGCCGCCCCGCCCATTACGACCCACCGCTTCCCTGTCCTTTGCTCGGCGCCGTTTCTCCACGTCGGCGGTCAGCTTCGCCCAGTCCTGGCAGCGGGGGAGGAGCGGGGCGTGGCGGTGGGTCAGCGACGAACGGCCGAGTAACACTGCGCGCCCGTGCGGCAGCCCGAGAACGACCAGAACACCTGGCGCGCTCCCTCTCCCTCCTCCGTCTCTCTCTCTCTCTCTCTCTCTTTCTCTTTGTCTCTCTCTCTCTCTCTCTCCCTCTCACCCGCCCCCTCCGCCCCGCGTCTACCCCAACCCCTCCTCGGGCCTGCCTCTTGCGAGCACGAACGTGGTCCTCTCGGCAGCCTGGGGTTATATGGGGCTCGTCGAGCGGGGCTGCTTTCCACAGCACTGGATCCAATCCAGCCCCAGCCCCGCCCGCGTATCAATCACGCCTGCACCTAGATCCCTCGGAAAACCCTCGGCGCCGACCGCACTATGCACAGAAGAATGAAACCCTTCCTGCACCATCGGAGCACGCGCATGCCTCTGCATTCCACGACTCATGAATTACACTGTCGAAGTTGAAACAGGCAATTTGCCGGCCGTAGCACGTAATGACCTGAGTCAGCCTGCTGGCAGGGGCATGGACTGGAGGGACGTGCGATGATGAATGGCACAATCTCGAATGGATGATCTACTTTCAACACGAGCCAACCTGTGTCGACACAATGGTTGGAGGCTTCAAGCTCTAGGGAAATAATCACGGGGACAAATCGTGCAACAACAATAGTTTGAAAACTCCCGCCCCTTACAAAGCTAAATGTTAGAAACTCTGCGTCTCAAGATCAAATGTGCAAATAATGCAGGGGTCTCAAGTGAGACAATGATCTTCAAAGCTACCAGGCCCCCCCAGGAGTGTAGCTGTTGGAGATGTCAAACTCTAGGGTCACTTTGTGCGAAGACATCTATGAAAAAAACAAACGCCTGGCCAGCCCTGCTGGCGCGGCCTTTTTGTTTGGTGGCGCGAAGGAGAGCTCGGCGTAAAGAGCTGGCACGCGTAATAAAAAAGGAGGGAGAGGAGGAGGGCGACGACTACGACGGCGAGGAGGAGGAAAGCGGGCCAGCGAGGAGAGGCGGGAGGATTCGAGAAAGGTCTAGGGGCCAGCCCGGCGCGACGCGGACGTCAGCAACGCAAACGCACATCCGCCAGGACACCCGACATCGCCTGGCCGACGGCACGGCGTGGCAGGTCGCTTCGATCCTAAACAGCCTCGCGATCAACTGCTCTGGAGAGCAATCCTGAGCCGTGCGGCCTTCATCGCCGCTTGCATCGGCCCTGCCTCCGCAAGCGAAGCCTCCGCCAGCATGACTTTCATCATTACGACCTTGATCGGCTCGGATTTCAATCTCACGACATCTGGTCTCAGTGCGACCGCATTCCGAGAGCTGTTGTTCAGAAGAGGCCGCCACAGTTCGCCGCATCAGCTTGAGCATCGTGGAATGGCATGCCGGAGGCGGGGACCGACAAAAAACAGCACAAACAAAATGTGATGTCATTTGGGCAGGTTCGCGCCGACTCATCGGAGCAATACAGCAAGAATGGAGACACCATCGCGATGCGGACTGAGCCGGATCCGAGCATGGAGTCCAGCGACGAGCTGGTCGCGAATAAGTACATAGCAATGCCACTCCGAACAGCACAGCGACTGCGCGATGTGGCCGTGCCCACCGCGGCCTCAGGAGAGGCTATACCCACACTTGAACACGACTCCGGGAGTCCGGAGCGGACCGATAGGAATCCACCCGACGGGCGTATCGGCGCCCCGGGGGGCAGCCGTAGCTCTGGGAGACGAGCTTCGTGGCCGAGGGACGGTGCGGCCTCTCTGCTCGCTGGGGAGGGTGCCCAGCGATTTCGGCCAGTGCTCGAAAGAGCAGCCTCGTATCTGCTTGGTCGCCAGCGGGATCCGGCCGCGAGCGAGAGAGCACAGCGAGACTGGGCGGAAGGCGGAGGAGAGGCAAAGGTGCTACAGCCGGGAGGGCGCCCTTCTGAGCGGCCGTTGTCCTTGCACGTGCTCAGGCCAGAGTAGCCAGGAGGAGGAGGAGGAGGAGGAGGAGAAGCAGCGGCGGCAGACGAGCATAGAAAGCACTAGAGCAGGAGGGCGAGGAGGAGGAGGAGGGCAACGTGAGATGAGTACAAATAATGCTAAGAAGACGAATACGAAGAATAATCATAAACATAAGAATAATAAAAAAGAAGAGGATGACCGCAAGGATGAGACGAGGCCAAATACGAGCAGGATGAGGACGACAGCGACGACGGCGACAGACGGAGAGCGAGGGGGAAAAAGGATGGAACATGCAGGCAGGGCGGATGAATGGGACGCGAGGTCTGGCCAAAGGTCCTTCCGCGCCACGTCATCCTTCTGCCACTGGTCCTCCTGTGCGGGAGGCCGCGCGGCTCGGTGCAGCTCAGCTCGCCTCAGCCCAACTCACTGCAACTCGGTCCAGCCCACTGTCTGACTCGAGAACCTTTCGTTGTCACTGCACTCCAGAGTTACACTGGCTGTCAACGGAAGGCGTGTCAGGAAGGAGCTTGGCAGAGCTCCTGCCACGACGCTCGGCCACGTGGGCGATTCCAAAAGGCAGGGGGGCGGCGGTGCTTCGCCGCAAGCGTCTTCGATACGGCTCCATACTTCTTGAAAATCCTCCCCTCGCTCCTCCTCCTCCTCCTCCTCCTCCTCCTCCTCCTCCTCCTCCTCCTCCTCCCCTCGCTCCTCCTCCTCCTCCTCCTCCTCCCTCCTCCTCCCTCCTCTCCTCCTCCTCCTCCTCCTCCTCCTCCTCCTCCATCTTGTTTCTTCTCCTCCTCCGCCTCCTCCTCTCCTCCTCCTCCTCCTCCCCTCCTCCTCCCGCTCCTCCTCCTCCTCCTCCTCCTCCTCCTCCTCCTCCTCCTCCTCCTCCTCCTCCTCCTCCTCCCGGCTTTCTGGTTGCTCATCTGCTGCACACCCCTCTCGGGGTGGGGAACCCTCCGCCCGCCCGCTTGCATGGAGCAGGCGCAAGGCGTCTCGCCGCGGACGCGCTCCGCCGCCGGGCGGCCCCGGGGCCTCTGGAGCCTGCCTCCCAGCTCAGAGCTGAGAAACGCTAGAGGGAAACAATTAGTGATAACCCCCCTGCCCCCCAAACTCAAAGTTGGCACGCGGGGGGGAGACTGCGGTCGAGGTGCAACTCATCAGACCCACCGCCAACTTTGAACATTGGGGGGAGGGGGAGGCGTTCACAGATGAATGTGGCATGAGTGTTCGCTAATTTTTTCCGAGGCCTGAATGTTTACGCCAAGAAGAGCAGCTTCACTCCAAGCGTCGTCTGAGCCAGTAGTCTGGGCCCAGATAATACTACGAGAGTTCGACGAAGAAAACAGACAAACAAGACAACGCCCAGGGTCCAGTCCAGACGAAATCTGGAGCCCGCGAGACTGCACGCTTTTCCTTAAGATTTCTGATGGGTATAGGGTCCAGACTGCAGAGGGAGAGCGACAGCAAAACGAACACCCAGGGAACGACAAGCGGACGTCTTGGATCGGCGCTGGAGCCCCCTGCGCCGGAGGCGCCGCCAGGGGAGCCCCACACCGCTCCAAGAAATCATCGCGAAGCTCTGCGAAACTACTGTTATGCTGTGCTCCTTCGACGAGGAGCACGTTGGGTGCGCTCGCCTCGCCTCCATCAATCCCTTCTGTCCCTCCCCGCTCCCCCACGCCGACGAGCAAAAAACAGCCGAACGCCGAGGATGGAGGGGGGCCGCTGTTGGCCCAGGGCCAGCTTGCGAAGTCACCGGCACGCTGGAGCCTCCTCGGCGTGCGAGGTTCAGGCCCCTCCCGAGCAAGCCCCGTCGGGGGCCCTTCTCGGGCCTCTGCCACACAGCCAAGTCCCGAAAGGCAGTGCCCCAAAGCTCCCTCGGGCCCGCGGGCCGCAGGCCCCCGACCGGACCGAGGGAAGAACAGACCTGCGACTCGGTGCTCCCGGGCCGCCGTCGCGCTGCCGGGGGTGGCGGGGGCACGCCAGGCCACGGCGCGGTGCAGACGAGAGGAAGAGGTCGAGGAGCAAGCCCTTCCCCCAGGATCCCACCTGATGGTGCCGGTGGCGCTGGCGGACGTATCCACCGCAGACGAATTCCCAGACGCGCCAGCAGTGCCCTAAGCGGCTCCAGGATGGCGCAAGAGGGCTCCGAGACGACCATCAACGAGGGCCCCAGGACGGCCGAAAATGGCCCCAAGACAACGCAAGATGCCTTCAGGGCGTCCCGGAAAGCCCCATGAGCTCCAGGAGGCCCCCCAAAAGCGCAACAATAGACCTCCCAAAGGGCCCCTCCTGCCATACAGCAACGGTGGCGAAAGCCACACGTCACGCGTTCTGGATGCGCACCCCTGGAGGAGGGAGGAGGAGGGTGGAGGAAAAAAGGGAGGATGGAGGAGGGGGGTGGAGGAGGAGGAGGAGGAGGAGGAGGAGGAGGAGGAGGAGGAGGAGGTAGAGGAGGAGGAGGAGGAGGAGGAGGAGGAGGAGGAGGAGGAGGAGGAGGAGGACCAGTGTGAACCCCAGAGTCACCAACGATGTTGGAATAAGCCCTCCCCCCAAGCTCCCTCTTCATACGCACGCCCCTACAGCGGTTCACTTCCAGAGGGCCCTGCCTCGTTGGAAGACAACCGATTGAAGACCCTGAAGCATGGCAAAACATTGTTCTCGGCATTCCAACGCCACGGGTAAACCTGACTGTTGCGTCTTGACGAACTGAAATCGTGCCAGAACGCCGTTCCTGGGACGTGAACACCGCGAATCATCATGACTGTTGCGCCCTCACAGTCGTGAATCCCTTCAGAACAGAATTTCTGGTACGTCGACCATGGGAATCCGCGAAAACTAAGATATGCTCAACAAACATGTGCGCGTCGCTAAGGCGAGAACCACAGTTTGGAAACCACTCGCCCTCAATCCGTGAAGCTCTTCGATTTTTGAAAACGAATGTGCGCGGCGCTAAAGCGAGAACCACATTTTGAAAACAACCCGTCCTCAATATGTAGAGGTCTTGCACATGTTGAGAGCGAATGTGCGCGGCGCTAAGGCGAGAGCCACATGTTGAAAACGACCCGCCCTCAATCGGTGAAGCTCTTCCAATTTTCTGAGGCGAGTACATGCAGCGAAAGCGAGAGCCCCATCTTGACAAGCACTCGTCTTCAATCCGTTAAACTCTTGCAAACGTTGTAAACGAATGTGCGCGGCGCTAAGGCGAGAGCCACATTTTGAAAACGACCCGCCCTCAATCCGTGAAACTCTTGCAAATGTTGGAAACGAATGTGCGCGGCGCTAAGGCGAGAGCCACATTTTGAAAACCACCAGCTCTCCATCTGTGAAGCAGTTGTCTTTAAGCTCCAGGGTCAAGAATGGCGAGGAAGTCTCAAGCAAAACGCCTGGCCCGCCCTGAAAACATGCCTCGGGGTGCGACAGGGAGAAATCATTCATAAGGAAATTATTCATAAAGAGAAGGACTGGAGGAGGAGGAGGAGGAGGAGGACAAGGAGGAGAAGGAGGAGAAGGATGACAAGGAGGAGAAGGAGGAGGAGGAGGAGGAGGACGAGGACGAGGAGGAGGAAGGAGGAGGAGGAGGGCGGAGGAGGAGGAGGAGGAGACATGGAGAGGAAGCACCACTCGAGACGCCCGCACCCAGGCCGTGGAGACCCCTTTGGCGCACGCAGGGCCCAGGGGGCCCCCGCGCGCCGGCCCCCCCGAGGGGGAGCGGGCCCCGCCGACACCCCAAGCGGCAGGGACAGATGGTAGAGAGGGTCACTTTTCCCCCACAAACGCAGGGCCCGACGCAGGGCCCAAACGCAGGGCCCCACTTTTCCCCCACTTTTCCAGGCTGCGTGTAGGGGGAAAGGCCCGACTTTTAGAACATCATTCCTTCTCCTTATGAAGAACTTTTCCCTGTCGCACCCCGAGGCTTGGCACGACCGAGATGGGCACGGAAAGAACGGGCACGCTGCCCAACAGCAGTTCCTGTTCATTTGGAACAGGGCTCGCTGTCGGTGTCGCCGCGGCCTGTGTCCATTTGAGGCAGAAGGCCACCTGCCCAACAGCGGCCGCTGTTGAATCGGGACAACATTTGTTGCTGGGCATTGTGCCCATTCTTTCCGTACCCATTTCGGGCGTCCAAAGAGGCCAGTTACAAGGGCAGGCCGGGCGTTTCGCCTAAGATTTCATCACCACTTATGACTCTGAAGCTGAAACATTGGCAGCAATTGCACAGATGGAGGGCGGGTCGTTTTCAAAATGTGGCTCTCGCCTGAGCGCCTTTAGCAATTTGCAAGAGCTTCACGGATTGAGGGCGGGTCGTTTTCAAAATGTGGCTCTCGCCTGAGCGCCGCGCACATTCGCTTTAAGCATTTTTTAAAGCTTCACGGATTGAGGGCGGGTCGTTTTCAAAATGTGGCTCTCGCCTTAGCACCGCGCACATTCGTTTTCAACGTTTGCAAGAGCTTCACGGATTGAGGGCGAGTGCTTGTCAACATGTGGCTCTCGCCTTCGCCGCATGTATTCGCTTCAGAAAATTGGAAGAGCTTCACGGATTGAGGGCGGATGGTTTCCAACATGTGGCTCTCGCCTTAGCGCCGCGCGTATTCGTTCTCTAAAGTTGCAAGAGCTTCGCGGATTGAGGGCGAGTGCTTTCAACATGTGGCTCTCGCCTTAGCGCCGTGCACATTCGTTTTGAACATTTGAGAGAGCGTGATCCACCGCCGCTTCACTGTGGAAAATTGCCGCCCTTTTCCTCCGGAACCCGGGGATCCCCCCCCCCCTCCGAAAATCCCCCC